ACAACATCATCATCATCATCATCATCATAATTAGCATCTCATTCGATGCAAGTAAATATATGCGCACAAAAAGATAAATTAAAACGAAATGATCTGATTATGACCATGTTGTGTGTGTGTGTGTGTGTGTGTGTATAAATATTGCAATGAAAATGAAAAAAGAAAAAAAAATGTCATTAACATTTGTTGCTGGTGGTGGTGGTTGTGGTTGTTGTGAATTTTTTTTTTTCTTTCTGATTTCATGTGTGTTAATGATTCGTATTTAATAAAATAGTTTATCTCAAATGGCTAAATTGAAAAAATTAGTCATCATCATCATCATCATCATTTTTTTTTCTATTCGTAGATTTGACTAAATACATCGTTAAATGTCGTATATACAGATCACCGATGATGAGATGATGATTTAAATTTTGACCATAGAAAAAATATAAATTTGATAATCGAACAAATCAATCAATCAACAAGTGACAAATGAAAATTCATCATCCATATATGAGGATGGCAGTGAAAAAAAAAAAATTTTTTTTTTTTTTTTCCTTGGTGAAAATTCCGAAAAAATTCTCACGTTAACACGGTTTAGATGAACAAAAAAAAAAAAAAAAAACAAAAGACAGAGCACGTACCTTATATACAAAACACAAGAGATGGGGAGAAATTATGACAATGAAATGGCGATGATGATGATGATCAGTGGATGGTGAATTCCATGATACACACACACATACAGAAATATATCGTGTGATTTTTAATTCTGATTTTCCCAATTGATTCTCTCATCATATATATATATCGGATATATTTGTTGAAAGACCAAAGTGTCTGTCTCGTGTGTGTGTGTGTGTGTGTGTGTGTGACGATCTCATATGGGTTGATTTTTTTTTCTTTCTTTGTTCACTGTTGATATGGTTTGTATATTTGGAAATTCTTCCCATTCCCATGATGATGATGATGATGATGAAAATTTTTTTAAGTTAGTTAGTTAACCATCAAACATAGAAGCTTAACCAGGCTTAAACTTTGAATTGAATAAATAATGATAATAATAATAATAATAATAAAAATCAAAACAAAAATAAAGAATGAAATGAAATGAAATGAAAAAACTCTCACCTCTTCACTTGTTTCACACAGAAAAATATTCTCAGTCCGTGAAAAAAAAACCACGCACTATTACTACGATGATCACCAGGACACATATACACAGTATATTTCATCATCATCATCATCACGTCGACGACATTTGTGAAACATCGAAACATACACATGATGAGAAAAATTATTCCATCATTCACCATTTGATTTTCGACCATTGAACAATTCGGACGACAGTCAACAAAAACACATTACAATGTTTTTCATTTGTTGAAGAATTTAATTTTAAGCAACCACGATGTTATAAAAACCAACAACAAGAATTGGTACATTTTTGGGATCATCATTGATCATCAAGTTTTTTTTCGAATGTTTTCATTGTTTCGACTATTTCGACTGCCAATTGGTTGGTACAGTTTTTTTTTTTTTTTTTGAATAGCGCGCCATTTCATCATTCCATTTTGTTTGTGTTGATTCGATTCGAATGTTTTTTGTGTTTGTTTCCGTGTTTGGATGATTCTTATCGATCAACAATTGGAGATCTATGAGTGTGTGTGTGTGTGTTGTTTTTTCTTTTGTGTTTTGTCAATCAATGATCATCAGATAAAAATCATCAATCGATCAATCGATCTATGTGTTTTTTTTTAAATCAACATCATCATCATCATCATCAACAAAATCAAAATTTGAAATCAAAATGTCATCATCATCGTTATTGTTATCAACATTAAACATCAACGATTATCATCGTTCAAGTGATATCATTTTCGAGGTAATATTTATTTAAAATTCTATTCTTTACAATTCATTTGTTGATCACTATCAATTCAATCAATTATCGATATATATCAGAAATCGATCAAATTGATGCATAATAAAAGCATAACAAAAAAAACATTATCCAAACTGGACCAATCTATTTGCACTCTATATGGATGACGCCAATATTTGATTGAATATTTCTATTTTTAGTGAATTTTTGTCCAGTTTTTTTTCTTGACTCTTATTCTTAAAACCGTTGAAAACTGAATATATAAACACTGTTGTGTGTGTATAGACCGTTTCATTTCGTTTTTTTTTTTTTTTGAACATCTGTCGTGTATCGGTATGTCGGTACAAAAATTTCAAAATCATTTCCAACAACAAAAAAAATAGAAGAAATCTTGGCGCAATAAATCGAATGTTTTACTATTGCACACACACACACACACACACTAAAACTAGCAGCATTCATTCTAACACACACATAAGGTCAGCGATCTACAGAACGCGGGCTTGCTTGCTTGTCTGCTCATTTTTGCACCCACTACCACCACAACCACCACCACCACACACAATAAACAATGTTTTTTTGCTTGTCTTGCAAGCTTCTCTCTTCAAAACAAAACAAAAAAAAAAATCCAAAAAGGTAACCGTTCATAAACAACGTATGCGAGTTAATTGTTTTAGTGTGTGTGTGTGTTGAAGAAAAGAAAATAAATAAAAAAAAAAAAAACGTTGAAATGTTTTTATCGAAAAAAAATGAATGAATTAATTGATGAATAAAATGCACAGATAAAATGTGATGAATGATTCTTTGTGTATATATATGTTTTATCATCATCATCAACTACCTGGCCAATTTTCTTTTGTTTAGAAATTTTGTTTTTATCAATCAAAAATTATCACAACAACCACCACCACTACAACAACAATAATATAACCGCCAACGAGAATCAAAACAACAACAACAACAACATGAGAATTTTGATTTTGTTGTTTGAAAATTTAAATTAACTTTCAACGATCATCAACCATCATCATCTTGAAATGAATGGAATAAATCAAGAGATGAGATTGTAATTCAATTTGACAATCATCAATTATGACAATATATAATAAAATGATGAAGAATTCCAATCGATGTAATTCATGAATTCATGAAAATTGAAGATCTGGAATCATGAGAAAAAAATCTACAAATTTTTCTACATCATTAATCATCAATCATCAACCCTTTAAAATTTACAACAGATAATTTTCATTCATGATTCAAAATACATGATGAAATTACATTACATAATGTATTTTTATAAGTAAACAAAAAATACCAAATGATGACAATTGTTAATTAAAAACAATCATCGACAATCATCACCATTCCGCATTTATGGCTGAAAATCTTTAAAAAACAAACAAACACATTTACTCCACAAATAGAGCTTCATTCTTTTTTTATATATACATACACATATGCAAAAATCATTTTATTTTTTATGTAAATCATTTCTTATATATTTTATATACCAGAAAAAAAGAAGTATTTATCTTTATACATTTGTAACAAGCACAAAAAAAACAAACAAACAAATCAAAAATTAACTAAACGAATTTACGAATATATATTCTATATTTGGCCTATATATGAATTTTTTACTATTGAAACTTTTCACCCTCGAAACCCTCCATAATCATCATCGATAATCAATCAATAACTATATAATGCACATATAAATTGAATCTGATCGATGTTATGAAACTTTGGCTTTTTGCTTGCCTTTTCAATTTTTTTTTTTTTTTTTTTTTTTTTGGATATACCGATGTTTTTTTGTTTTGTTTTCTGTTGTCGAATGTTATTTCACATATATAACCAAGACACCAAGAAATATCAACAGATCTGTTTTCATTTTTTTTTCTATGTTCTTCACACATTATCATTGTGTAAATCGAATGTAAAAAAAAATCAGATTTGTCATCATCATCATCATCCATCATCAACAACACCACAAATGTCAATCGTTAGCCAGCGTCATCATTATTATATAATAAACAACAACAACAAAATTAAAAAAGAAAAAACATCATGAAAGTTGTAAGTGTAAAAGAAAAATTTTCTCCAATTGAAATAAAACAAAACTAAAAAAAAAATTCAAATGACAAGACAAGATTGATTCGATCGATTAATCTATGTGATCGATACTTTTTACACACACACACACACATATGGGTTAAACTTGTTGATTCAGATATCTGTTTGCCTCATTGAAATGATTCGTTTTGGTCGATTTTTTTTTTTTTGATTTGATTTGATTTTAATCTTGTGTTGTCCCATTTTTTTTCATTGCTTTTATCTTGTCCATGTGTGTGTTTCGAGAATGAAGAAAATTGAATTTTTTATTATTTTTTCATTTATTTTCTGATTATAGCTAACGACAACTAATAAACAGTCAAACAGTACAATCACTGATAATAGTTCAAACGTTGAAGGATCATCATCATCATCATCACCATCATCAATGATGGTATCATCACCTGATGCTAAAGCTAATGTTGTTGGTCATCTTCATCATCTTCGCCAACAACAACAACAACAGCAGCATCAACAACAGTCAAATCAACAAATACCATCACCATCATCAATGATGACAATGATGGCTGCTATGAATCATCAAATGCCACCACCTTCCTTCATCATCATCTACAGGTGGATTAGATTCAGCTGCTATTGCTGCAGTAATGGCAAATTCTTTATTACAACAAAATTCTCCAACTCATCAACAACAACAACAACAACAACAAGATTCATCATCACATTCCGCAAATGTTTTAGCACAAGCATTAGCTGCACATGCAGCTAGACAATTATTGGAACAACAACAACAACAACAAGAATCTTCACAACCAATTTCTATAACTAATAATTCAACAGTATCGACAACAACAACAACAGCAACAAATTCACATTTTTTACAATTACAATCATTGCAGATGCAATTATTACAAGCAGCAGCATATAATAAATTATTTGATCAACAACAACAACAACAACAATCATCATCATCATCAAATATAAGCAATCAACAGAATTCAACATCAATGATGATGATGAAAACGAATGATGATTCAATTATAAATAATAATAACAATGATAAAATGTCAATAGATATAAATGAACAACAGAATTCATCTTCATCAACAACAAGTGCTATGTTATTAGCTGCTGCAGCAGCAGCTGCTAGTCAATACTGCCCACAAAATCCAATGGATCTTTCATCACCACCATCATCACATAATCATCATCATCATTCAACAAATTCATCAACGACAACGACCACGACGTCAATTGGTCAATTATCACCACAACGACGACAATTATCAATAAGACAATCAGTGATTAAAAATGGTAATATACAGAATAATCGAAAATTAACTAAACAACAAGAATCCAGTCAGTCAATGAACTTTTCATCATCATCATCATCATCATCGCCATCATCATCATCAATATCAACGTCTCATCGGATTTCCGGTAAGTGAATTTTTTTTAAAAAATTTTTTTTTTTAGGAATTTTTCACATAATTATTAATTAGACGTGTCAGACAAAGAATTATAGACAAGTATAAAAAAAACTATAGCAAAATTGAAAAAAAAACAATGAGCTTTATTCTCACGCTTGAATTCTGTTCGATCGGTTGTCGTCGTCGTCGTCGTTGTCGTTGTCGTTGCAGACGGACATCAATCTTTTTAGCATTGTTTTTCCAATAATGATGATGATCAACATGAATGAAAACAATTTTTCTTTGTGATGACAAATTGGCCTGATTTTTTTTTGTTTTGTTTTACTACTCGTCCAGATTTCAGCCATTGAGAAACAACAACACGAACAAACAATAAATTATAAAGAGTTTTTTTCATTTAGATTCTTTCCAAAAATTCTAACCATTATTGTTGTGTAATAATGGAAAGACAATCATACCAAGGACAATTTGAGCGTCAATTTTTTCTTTCATTTGATTCAATCAAAATGAGTACAAATCAAATTGAGATCCCATCATCATCATCATCATCATTGAATATCGATCAATTTTGGCTTTTCTAATCAAACGTCTGATTGTTATTCTATGAAAACATGACGATAAGAATTGACGAAATGTTTTTCTTTTATTTTAATTACTGTTTTTCTTATTGATGATGATGATGATGATTTTCACCAAGTTCCAAAATCATTTTCTTATTTTTTGTGTGTGTGTGTGACTCTAATTATTATGTTTTGTATATATATTCTGTTTTATTGTTTGATTCATATTGTTACATTTGTTTCGGTGTGTGTTTTGATCATAATTGTCATTAATGAATGTATGTGTGTGTGTGTGTGTGTATTGTATGTAAAAATCATTTATCGATCGAAAAAATAAACCCAATAACCAGTTGAGAATAAAATATGAAAAGAAAATTGTCATTTCCAAATGAAAAAAAATCAATCAATCAATAAAAAACAATTGTCATCAATAAAAGAATGAACAAAAAAAAAATGTTTTCTTCATTCTTTTTGACGTTTGGGAATTTTGTGTTGATTTTTCGCAACAAATTTGGATTTGTTTTGATTAAACCGTGTGAACAAATCACATTCTCATTGGATACGGATATTCTAATTACAAATGTCCGGAAATTTTCGCGCCTATCTTTTTCGGCTAATTTGATTTGTTGGGTTAGCCTATTTTCATCATAATCCATTGATTTAAAGTGATAAAATTATTAAAAATTTCACTTTAGAAAAATTGAATTTCGTAATATGTATTTTATTCTGGCTTGACAACAATGGTACCCAGTGCATGATGATGAAACTTGCTCGGGATATATAAAAAGGTTTGTTTTTTAACCAAAACAAACTTGATTCCGTCATTATGACAATCCGATTCTCTGTGTACACGCATCATCATCATCACCACCACCACCATCATCATCATAAAAGAATTTCAAATTCAAATTCAAATGACATTTCAAATCCATCCATTCAATTGAATTCTTTAAATTCTGGTACATATCATTTCATTTATCTATTGCTGTTTTTTTTTTGTTTGTTTGTTTTTTTGTATGCATAAATGACACATTTTACATCATAGCAAAAATATTTAAAAAAAAAAATAAAAAATACCTAAAACCCAAAGCATCATCATCATCAACGAATATAATAAAAAAAAACAACGACCGCCTCGTTTTTATATTAATACAATAAGAATTTATAACATTGGCCGCCTTTTGTATTTCAATGGTTTTTTTTTGTCTGTCTGTGTATGTTTTGGTTTTTAGTTTACGGTGGGATGGAGTTTCTCTCTCTCTCTCTCTTTTTTTTTTTTTTTTTTGTATTGCATTTCATTTCACAATTCAATTCACATCACAACACACACACAGCATATGCATCACCCACACACTAGGTTTTTGTAGTTAGAGTTAGCTCCATCATCATCACCATACTACGATACAGACACTTGAACTCAAAAAAAAAAAAAAAAAAAAAAATTTTAATTTAGGAGCCATCTCTCCATTATATTTCATTCATCATTTTATATCCATCTAATAACAACACCGACAACGATATCAAATAGCCACATTTTTTTGTGTGTGTGTGTATGTCGATTATTTTTGAATCACACGATAAACATTTTTTTTTTTGTTCATTTTATCAATCAAATTTTTTTTTCCTTTTTAAATTCTTCTTCTTCTTCTTCTTTCCCCGAAAAAAAATGAAAATATTCTCTTGTAATAAATAATATATACCTAAAAATTGACAATTGACTTGTGTAAAATTTTAGCTTTTTCTCTTTTCTTTTTTTTTCCTGGATGAATGAATGAATGAATGAATGAATATTCTTCTCTCTCTTTATCTCTCTCTCTCTCTCTTTACTGTGTTTTTCCTGCTAAAAAAAAAAAAATCTAAAATTCAGTGTATGCTTAGATGCTATGAGAAAAAAGTGAGAAAAAAAAACAGCAGCCATTTCTCTCTCTATTTCTGTATCTCAAACACACACACACACATTTTATACCATTCAGTCCATATCGTGTGATGATGCTTGACGGTCATACACACACACACACATAGACAAATAGACCCGAACATCATCAATCGTCATCGTTGATGATATCACCTCATATATACACTGTTGGTGTATTTTTTTTTCTTCTAAAAATTTTTCTTTTATTCATCATCATTTTCTTTTCTTCTTTTTTTATGGTGGTGAATCGTTTTTCATATGAGAAATATTTTTTTTTCTCTTTGTTTTTCCTCTTTTTTTTCAATTCGATGAATTCGATTATTGTTATTGAATTTGCAACAACAACAACAACAACAAAAAAAACACACACAGAATTCATTGATTGATTAGATTCTGTAGATATTTTATTGTATTAGAATTTATTTATTTATTTATTTATCATTGTAATTTAAATCAAATGCCACAACACAGTATGTATGAATCGGCAACGCCACCATATCACCATCATGGTGGTACATTTCCATTATATCATTCACATCATCCACATCCTCATCATCATTTACATCCATTACAATTAACAACATCAACTGATTCTATTGATTCACAACACAGCAACAACAACAACAACAACAACAATCTCATCATCATAATCATCAAACACCACAAACACCACCATTATCAACATCATCACATTCACCACCATCATCGGCTAGTTCCACCGGAAATATAGTAGTAACACCTAATAATAATAATAATAATTCCAATCATACATTACCAACTACACCTGGTTCCACTGGTTCATTAATTGCAACTGGTGTGAATGCATTGTTAGAGATGACGCCACCTTCGCCTACAAATACAACAAATAGTGGCCATTCGGCTGATCCATCACCACAACATAATACATCATCATCTTCATCATCATCATTAGTTCAATCAACATATACTAATCATTCATATTCATCAACACCACCATCATCATCATTATCATCATCATCGATAACAAGATTATCAACAGATCAAGATTCATCATCATTAATAATCGGTAGTGTTGATGGTAGTGAACAAAATCAAAATTTACCAACAACAACTCAATCATTTTCATTTACCGGTTCGCCATATGCGCCATCTTTTGGCGGTACACCGATGCCCGGAAATGTTCCATCACCAATACCGGCACATTATCATTCATCACAACCACAAAGCCATCATTTACATAGAGCATTTTATCCAACAAATGCTGCTGTAGCAGTTGCAGCTGCTGCTGGTGCAAATTATTATTCATGTCCAACAACGCCTAATCAACATTCACCAACAACACCACATTCAATTAATAATCAATCATCATCACTTCATAATAATACTAATAATCATCATCACCATAATATAATGGATCAATTTGCAAGTGTAACAAGCATTTCAACAGCCGGTTCAACTAATGGTACGATTGATCATACACAAACATCATCATATCATACACAATATCATCATCATCATCATCATCATCATCAACAACAACACCATAATAATCATCATAATCATCACATGGTTCATCCATATCATCGACATACACCACCGTCATCATTATCAACAACAACCACACCTACAATATATCATCAACATCAACAACAACATACTAATAATAATAATCATCATTCTATGTATGGATCATCACATCATCAACAATATTTAAATTTAAATCATCATACACATATTCAACAACAACATCAACAGAATTCTTCACTTAATTCACCTGGTAGTCAAACAACAACAACAAATGATTATGGTAGGCAAAACACAATTGAAATGAAGTACCAAAAAAAAATGGGTTTACCATATTTGATAATAATAAACACACCCTTGAAATTTGATGATGATGATGATGCTAAATTAATCTGGTTGATCTTTGTTGTTTATTGATTGATTTTGATTTTGATTTTTTTTTTGATAGGAAAATCATTTCATTTCATTTGTCGATTTTTTTTTTATCTTGGTCGTTTTTCTTTTCGTTTATCACATACATACATGCATACAAATTGGACATTTTGCCACATATTTTTTTTTGTTAATCTTTGGTTTTAATCTTGTTTTTAATCTTGTTGTGTGTGTGTGTGTGTGTATGTTTTATATTCATCATCCATCATTCGTTTTGTTTTTTTTACGGTTTTAAAAAAAAAAAAAATCCAAACATCCAGTATATTTATAAACAGAAATATAAATCTTTTTGAAGGGTTTTTTTTCTCCGCATCACATTCGCTGTCCATTTTTTCAACAACTGGGGTCATTTATTCAATTTGTTGTTGTTGTTGTTGTTGACAATCTGTGTGTGTGTGTGTGTGTGTTCCGCATAGAAAAAAGATTTGTTCACATTAATTTCAATTTTCATTGCCATTTTGAATATATAGAAATACTTGATGTTTGTGTGTGTGTGTGTGTGTGTGATTTTATATATATTTATGTGTGTTGATGATACAATGTGTCAACATTGGTGTGATCATCATGATGATCGTTGTCATCAAGCCGACTTTTTGTTTT